GTATATATATATGTTTTTTTATATATATTTTTATACAGAAATTCATATGCATATAATTATAAGGAAGTCTGCATATCACTATTTGTAAGCATGTCACATTTGTAGAATAAATGGACATTTAGAGACTCACATATACAGATACATTTATGTATTTATCTATTTGAATATGTGTCTCTATAAATCTATCTTAATAACTGTCTCTATTAACTTTTTTAGAATCAATTAGCTACAAATTACATCTAATATCTCTATCTATATTTATCTATTTTTATTTCATATATTCTGAGAAGTATTTACAGGCAAAAATAGAATCAATATATAGATAAATAAAGAAAATGATAGACATTATTATATGAAAATTTCAATAAATAAATCATTAAAAAAAACTAGTAAAAACACATATACACTCATATACACATATACATATATATATATATATATATATATATATATATATATATATATATATATATATATATATATATATATATATATATATATATATATATATGATCCACATAAAACATGCATTCAAAGTAGTGTGCTCCCTTCACAAACAGTCTAAATATGAACAGTTTTGCATAATCATTAGGCTGTTTTGTTTCTTTGTCTTAAAATAAACAGAGCTTTTCATGTTTTGGAAAGAGTACAATGTATAATCTACACAAAATGAGCCTGCTGTTTATTTACTGCTGCCTTTTTATTACTAAATAAATTCATGCGGTTGGATTGCATGGATCTGTTATCTTCCGCCTGACGTGGAATAGTAGTGTTAACCTGGATGCTAGCAACTACAAAGAAAAAAAATCAATCACTAAAGCTCTAGTGGAAAAAAGGTTGGGCTCTCTCGTAAAGCTGTCACCACTGAATGTAGTGTCTTCTCCTGTGATGGGAAAGCAATTATGTATGAGTAATGGACTTGCTGGCATAGAGGCTTAGCATAGACAATGTGTCAGACCACCATGCTAGATGTGGTTACAGTGCAGTAAAGGATATCTTGAGCATAAAATATGTTTCCTTTTGAGTTAACTCAACTGTATCAGAAGGGAAGACTTTGAGGATAAATCTGCAAGATTGCGCCATAAAGCACATGTCAAATCCATCCAGTAGTATGACAGGATGTCTTGACAGAGCACAGGGATGGTCAAACTCGGTCCTGGAGGTCCCTGTAGAGTGTTGCTCCAACACTAATCAAACACAGCTGAACAGTCTGATCAGTGTCTTCAAGAGCACTTGAAAGCTAGGTGGTTGTGTTTGATTAGGGTTGGACCTAACCAAGTCTAATTCAGCTCTTTGGATATCCAGCAAACATTCTTTGTAAACTTTATGCCAATTTAGTGTTGTTTATTTTTGTGTAAGCACACCATATAATGACAACTGGTCAATACAGGCAGTGTGTGCCTTCATGCCCTCATTATATCGCAGAAGGGGACACACACACAAGCTCTGTGTCGAGTGTGTGGGAGTGGAGCATGTTTGTGCAGCTCTTAAGGGAGCTAACAACAAGCACTGTGATAAACTCTCCCAGAGAGTACTTTGCTCCCACTGAGCATACTTTGAGCACTTGGCAAGTTGCACTTCATTGGTTTGGTTCATGCTCATGGTGACTCAGATCTTATGGTACAAATGGATCTAGTGAAGGTGTTGGACATGAGCACTTCTCTTTTTCTGCCCTTGCCTTCTAGAAGAAAAATAAAACACAAGTTAAAGATGCACTTGATAATCATTTCCTTGAACCTAGACTGTTTTCTCTGCATTGGGCACTTCCATGTTGTCTGTATAGAGCTGACCAAATCATAAAATAACCATACTGTTCTCATGATTATAACCCTGGTGCATCCAAATGTGTTATGATCATGGGTTTACAGAGGTATGGGTATGCATAGATTTGTGAGGAAAATCTGGTCCATCATTTAGTGCCAATCTAGTAATCAATACTAAAATCCCACAACGTGACCCTCTAGTCTTTAAAACTGTCATCAAGTCTGGGGGTACAGAAAATGTTGCAAAAGGTCAGGCAATATGACTACGTTAGCATAACATGCTAAATTGGAGACATGAAGGGGACGGAGTAGGCTTGGATGCTATTAAATAATTGTGCTGGGCCACATAATTGTCTCTCCATTGTTAAATGGAGCCTATAAAGTGGCCGTCCTTGAGTCAGGAGAGAGAGAGACATCTCTGGCCTAAACTGTCACACAAAAGTAGGGATGCATAGCATCTTTGCTGGATGCTCAAGTTAAACTACCAGGCATCATTTAACACAGTTACCATGAAACATTAGTGGGAACTTCTCAGGCAGAGTTCCACAAATTTCTTCAACCCTGCTTTTGTGACTGTGGAACTGCCTTGTGGGAGTAGTCCTGGCCAGAGCCCAGCTGTTTATCTCTAAGAAGGGCTCAAAAAGAATCAGATTGGTTAGGACCCTCTGGTTTTCTGCTTCGGAGCAACATTTTAACTACTTTAACAATGGGGTTCTTTCAATATTGATGAATCCTGAGTAAAGCTCTTATTATGCAGGAAGAGGTGAAGACTATCCTGTGTAAAAGGACCACAGAATGTTTACCCACACGAGAGAGAATCCAGGTATTTTAGCTGAAATTCACTATTCTGAAGGAGGATGAGTGGTTGAATCTGATTCTAGATCTGTCAATTAATTATACACTTGGCCCAAACAAATTGAAAATATCCATTCTTCAAGGATAGAGGATTAGGACGAAAGAGGAAAAGAGGCTTGTCGTGATAAATGCCAAAGACGCAAACTTCACTTTAGACATCCTTCCTCAGAATAGGAATTTCCCAGAGTCTACCTTTCTAGTCTCTTAGTTATTCAATGCTGGTTCCATTACAACCTTAAGTAATGCAGATATTAATGTATCTGGATGATACATCAGAGCAACTATAAATTCATCAATGCGATTTGGTGCTGCTTCATTTTTAGAATGTTGCCATTAACTTTTGACTATTATGCTGGTAATAAATGTTGGGTCTATTGGCACCGGCATCCCATGGAATATATTGTAGATTAATGTGTATAAGACTTTTTCAGTGGTGGCAGTTTTGCATGCTCAAGGTCTCATGGTGATGCCATCAAGCCTAAAAAAAGTTAAGGTAACCTTGTTTCCTGTCCCAGAGACTGTTGTTGAGAACAACTTGTTGCTGCATGATGGTAACAATGGATGCTTCCCTCACATGCTGGGAGTGGAATTTGAAGGTCACTAAACACATGGTCTATAGAGGGACACTGTCTCTTGTGGAACATAAAATGCTTGGAGATGTTGTCTGTGTTTTTAGCTTTAAGACATTTCCTTCCAGATCTCAGGGGCCATACATGTGCACAACAAAGTGGTGGTCTACATCAACAGAAGCTGCTTTCAGTCAGAGAAGTTTATATTTTTAGGCATCTGAATCAGAAGGCAGACATCTTGTTTAGAGGATCAGGGAATAGATAATTCACCGAGATCTGGTGCAGCTCATTTTGTAAAAGTCTTACCAAGCAGAAGTGGATCTGTTTACCTCACATGAGACATCCCACTGTCCACTGTGGTTTTTCCTTATGCATCCTGACCCATTGGGCTTTGATGGCATGTTCGTAGAAAAAAGCCTTGGACACTATATAATTAATTAGCCTTTTCTGAGCAGGGTAGCTGGATAAATGATTGCACACTAATTAGTATTCTCAGTCCACATCCACTGCCAGGTATATGCAAAGGATGTTCTACTTAATGATGCACTAATCAGATGGAAAAAAAAATCACTTGTGATTATGTCCTCTGTACTCCAGGTGCATTTTACAGAGTCAAGTGGAAAATTACTGCAAAATGTACCTTAAAGGAATATGATGTTATATACATAAGTAATGACTTACTTTCTATAGAATTATAAAAAAAAAAGTATGATTACACAGTTGCCCTGTTTATATGATTCAGTGTTGACAAAACATTAAAAGTTTAATAAAATATATTCATATGTAATCTTCACAATTAAGGCAATAAGATTTGTATTATTATTATTAGCAGTAGTAGTAGTAGTAGTACTAATAGTGGTGGTAGTAGATTTTGCTTAAACTAATGTTTGTATGATGTCCTTTCTAAGCAATTAAGTTTAATCATAATGAAAGGATTAAATACTGTCTTCTCCCAGTGTGCAGATCATCATATGCATCCACAATAAAGCAATAAGTTATCAGAATGTATATTTTAACACATTCCTTTAATACATTATTTGATACTTGTATTAATTTCAGTCTTTTGCCATCCACAGAATGATTCCGGCAATCAGCAGATCCTTTTTGGTCAACAACCTGATGCCAGGGATGCAGTATGATCTATGTGTGTTAGCCATCTGGGAAGACACTGCCACCACACTTACTGCAACCAACATAGTGGGCTGTGTGCAATTCGAGACACGTGATGAGTTTCCTCGCTGCCAGTCACTTCACAGTCAGTTTCTAGGAGGAACCATGATCTTAGTGATTGGTGGAGTGATTGTGGCCACTTTGTTGGTTTTTATTGTCATCCTTATGGTTCGCTACAAAGTGAACAGCGGTTTGCAAGTTGCAAAGTTAGTGACTGTGAGCAACACCTACTCCCAGACCAATGGGAGACCACAAGCTCCGCAACGTCTAAACAATGGTGCTCCTACACCACAGACACCAAAAACTGTAGTGGTGATGCGAGATGAAGTGGTGGAGTTTAAGTGTGGCTCCTTGCAGAGTAGCATCTCTTCCTCTTCATCCTCCTCAGCAGACACACTTGGATGTGAGAAAGTAGAGTCCTACAACCGGCATGGCGATTCAAACACCTTGCCTCATAGGTGGAAGCAGTCGTCAGCCAAAGCGCGGCCAAACTTGGATAACCTTCTTGGGGCATTTGCCTCTCTGGATTTGAGAGCTCCCACAAGAGATCCAGGAGGACCATCTTCCTCTGGGACCATGGCAATGGCCATGAGACCCCCCACTGACAAGGAGCCTCTGCTAGGCCGAGGAGATTCTAAGCTTGGAAAGCTTGTGATGCTGCCATCAGAGAACAAGCCCAAGCGCAGCCACTCATTCGACATGGGGGACTTTGGTGCTTCACAGTGCCTTAGCTACCCACGGCGCATCAGTAACATTTGGACTAAGAGGAGTCTCTCAGTTAATGGCATGCTCCTGCAGTGTGACGAGAGTGAGGGGGAAGGCGATAAAGCGACATTTGATAGCTCTGAGTGGGTCATGGAGAGTACAGTCTGACAGGGACATTGGATTAGCTCTGCCAAAAGAGAACAAAAAAGAAAAAGCATTCTTTGAACTTTCGGGTAAAAAGGATACAAACTTGCTGTATCATATGACGTCAAGAAGGACTCAAATGGTATAATAAAAAGACACCTCAGCATTGGCCATGACTGTGTAATGCATGATTTTTCATCTCAATATTGTCCTTCTGTTCATTTGATCACAAAAAAAAAGAAAATTTTAATGTATTTGTGAGTTATAGGGATTCAAACAGGGCCAGAGCTCATCCTATTTATTGAGACATGAATGAAGGATATCTCCAGTTGCCTTCAAGCATTAAAGCAGATATGAATAAATACCCAAGAACAAGAGATGTTGGGGTATCTCAGAGAAGCAGGGAATAAAAGAGAGAGTTTATCCAACTGTGCGCTGCAGTTTGCCAAGAGGATTTTCTTCAGCTAATGTGGATGTGCATCACAATGGACCAAACGTTCCCATGAGGTGAGACTACACAGAAAGAAACAGAAAGAAAGAAAGAGATGCAAATGTAATGAAATTTTGTAGGTTCTTCTTTTGGTTTTGTTACTTCTATTGCAATGTTGGACCCCAGTTGCACACTGTTGATTATTTTTATTATATTTATATGTCAGATTCATGTGAGTAAAAAAAAAAAACAAAAAAAAAACAACGCAGTCTGTCATACATGTATTTCACAACAAAATTCTACTAATTGTTGGTGATGCTTCATGACATTATGTGCCTATATTTCATTTGTTTTTCAGTGCATCTATCACATTTGTCATTAATTTCTGCATTTGGAAGTTGCTGTCTGAACAGATTACTGCAAATTTTAGAAAACAGAGACTAGCAGTCTGTCTAGCTGAGGACCATATTACTTAAAAAAAGTGTACACACCCAATCAAGTCATCACAAAAAAAGAGAAGTAAATAATCTACCAAGATGTGCCAGATAAGATTTAATTATAATATAATTGTTTTCTCCAACTACCTTGAAATTGTTACCATGGCATATGAAAATCTTTGATAAGGTCTACTTGGTATTATCAATGCACCATGGCATTGCAACAATATTATCCAAGATTATTCCAATGATAAGATAAAACATTATGGCTTTCTGTGATATCTAGTAAGGTAATTACCCCTAAACACTATAAATTATTTTTTTCTGTTCCTCTTTGTAAGATTAGTTTGTTACAGTAGCATTAATTAGTTAAGTTTGCAATCTACACATCCATATTCTTAAGTCTTAATGGGATAATTCATCCAAATACTCACCCTCAACTTTCTTTATTTAATTGAGCACAATATAATATATTTTAAATAAAACTAAAAAGCCAGCAGTTAGCTCTCTGCAACTCTCACACTCTCAGGTCAGTACCTTGATGGGAGACCACATGGGAAAGCTACTGTAGGTTGCTGCTGGAAGTGGTGTTTGTGAGACCAGCAGGGGGCACTCAACCAGCGTTCTGTTTGAGTCCTAACAGCCCATTCACAAGGGGCGTCATCGTCAATGCTTTCCATTCACTTTGAATGGGTGACGTCAAGTGTTGGGTGTCGGCTATGCTTCAGTGGCGTTGCTCACTGTAGAAGTTGAGACTTTCTCAACTTTTCATCACTGTATGCAAATACACTAGCTCAGACAGAAGCCGATTGCTGACTAACTTTATAAATGCCCTCTGTCAAGCTTTGAAGCCCCATGTGAATCAGGCGCAATGCCCTAGTATATTGATGGGGACTCTATACTGCTCAGTGAGCGGCATCTTTCAAATGAGACATTAAGACATACTCACACAAGGTACAGTTGCCTCGATCCGGGCCAAAGCACGCTTGTCCCCCCCTCCCGACTCCCCCGACGGCCCGCACTCACACCACAATCAGGCCTCAGCATGCTTACGTCATCGCTGCTGTGCTGTTCAGTGAGAAGCGCACTCACTCAGTAGCTCAGTAGAGATTTCTCTAGTTATATCGTTTCAGTCGTTTGTTATGCAGTGACATGCAGTCAAATATTTCACCAAACAGTCCTTAGGGATGCGATGACAAACAGTCAGATATTTCGCCGAACAGATCCGCCACTTTAGGCGCTCATAATCATGAAGCCCTCGTGCTGCAGGAATGAGGAGGTCTGCTAAAGGCGTGCAGCTGTCGTGCAGTGAGAGGTTTGCGTTTTTAATAAACTACAGTAGTTTGCGTTCACTGAACAGTAAGAATGAATAATAAATCCATATGAAACAGTCCCTTAAAAGTCACGTCTCGCTTTCAGTTTCGGGCTTTGGCGTGTTTTGCCTCACACTACAAACGTACCATGCCAAAGCCTAAGTGAACCACGCTCAGGCCCAGTTCTTCCAACCGGGCCAGGGCTGGCCAAGTTCTTGAGCCCGATTCAGCGCACTCACGCTTCTCAAACGATCCAGGAAACGGGCCTGTGCACGGTACAGATGGCATAGTGTGAGTAGGACCTAAATCGATGTCCTGACTCTCTGTGGTCATTAAAATTCCTAGGATGTCCCCTTAAAAAAATAGTAGGGGTTTAACCCCAACCATCCCCATATCATAATTGGATTCATCACTTTGTCTCCTTTCCACCAATCAGCTGACATGTGGTCTGGTGCAATATAGCTGCCGTCATGTCAACCGGGTGAAAGCTGCAATGGTGGATTAGGAGATTCCCCCCAAAATATGGGTAAAAAGTGCTTTAAGTGTCCAGAAAAGCACTTTATTAATGTAAGGAATTATTATTATTATTATTATTATTATTATTATTATTATAAAAACCTGTAACCATTTTATCTATAGTTAGAAAAACTAATTTTATGGAAGTCAATGGTTACATTTTTCCAACATTCTTTTGTGTTTAACGGAATAAAGAAAAGCAAGCTGGTTTGGAAACAGTAAAGTGTGAGGAAACCATGACAGATCTTTCCGTTTTGGGTGAACTATCCCTTTAAGACTGAAATGTAGGTCAGAATGTTACGGTAGACAACATTTTGTGAAAGACAGGCGTTTGGGAAATGATCTGGATGACAGTTTTGTGTAGAAACTTTTCCTAGTGCCAAATGGTGGTGGAAAGCTTGATTTCACACAGAGGTGCATCATAAACTGGAGAAAAAACTGAGCTTCTCCATCATCATTGTGCCCTTGAGCGAAGGCACTTAACCTCAGGTTGCTCCACAGGGACTCTCCTGCTATTAGTGTACTGCAACTTGCTTCTGATGGAGGTGTTGGTTACATGATGTTTAAGAACTGGATAAATCATGTATAGTCATTATGTCAGATTTTACCATTTGAAAAATGTGGTGATACTTCCTATGAACACATCTATGCTATGCTTACATTTGAAAAGAGCTCAGAATGATATGACAATGCTATTATAGTGTTCTATGATCAAAAATATTGCTTTTGTTAGTTTGGGGGAAGGTGCATTATTAAATCATCATGATTTGATTTGGATCTTTTAAATAAAAACCATGAGTATTTTAAGTCTAATTGTCTGTAAAATATCAATGTATACATCATATTGCTTATAGAGAGTATGTGTTATAGATTAGTGTTCCTAGGAAGTTTTACCCATAACATACAATGTCTATTTTTCTTATTTTAAAAGAATCTTTATTTTTCTATTTTGTGAAAAGCTGACAGTTTTATTGCCTTTCTTTTGTCTGAAACAGTGTCACTGTATGTGGTTTGATTGTGTTACTATTACAGATATATATACTGTATACAGGAAAGATGTGGATAAGCAAACATACCATAGTTATTTTTTATTTTTATTTTTTCATTATTATTATTAGTAGTAGTAGTAGTGCTATTTTTTAATTTGGGCCACATTATAGATTTGCATTCACTGTTTATAATTTGTTACTGCTCTTGGTATGATTCTTTCTACTTTTTGTATAAAAATCATTTAAGAATGTATGATGGTAATCTGTACAGAGAATTTATCTTCCTGGTCAGAAAAAGAAAACACAAAAAAAAGTGAGAGAGAGAGAGAATGTGCTTTAATGTATTGTTATGACATACGCGTAAATGTGAAGCAGCATAGTCGCGTTTTTCACTTGGAGTTGTAGAAAAAAATGAAAAAGATAAAATCATTCTAAACCATTTCTGTGTTCAAAAGATTTTGCTACAACAAGATAAAGACACAGAATTCATAATTAAAGCTGTCTGTTTCCTTTTTTGTCTCCTTGTCTTTCAGCCTTCCAGGTTTTGTGCATTTCTTTCTTATATATCTAACTGATTTTTGTCTTACTCACGTCATTACAATTAGGGATTTCATTCTCTCCAGAAAATTCACACAGCAAGATGTACTTATTAATGAATATACTCCAAGGGTGATTCCTCAAAGATTAGATGAATGCACTCTAGGGGTGCACAAAAACTAATTAAGTGACTGTAGTAGTCATAAAACATTAAAATAAGACACATGGCCTACTGAGATGCAAACACTTTCCATGACTGAGATGCATGCATTTTCCATCATTTTGCTTGCTGCCTCAGATACCACCTCCCTTAGAGTTTCATTTATGCTTTACACATTTAATTAGGCATGTTGTCATGGTCTATAGTTATTTAAAGGGATATACTGTAGATTGAGCATTTAAAATTGCTCAGTGTTTTTATTTTGAAGTCTAACAACAAAACACATTTTGTACCTAAATTCCTCAACACAGGCTCATTGTGAAAACGTACCCCTGTATACATTTCTGGAGAGTGTGAATTATGTAGTCAGAGCTATGTATTGCTACATTTCATCTGTAAAACAAACGCTACGGGGTGGTATGATGCCACCAATGGCGTCTGTTTCTTTTCACGTTACCAGCTGACCGCTTACCTCCATGTTGGATGGCTTTTCCACTATTACCAGTTTGTCTAGTTGCTTATCATGTACGTCGACGATCTTGAGAAGCATAGAGGAGTTGACTGCCACAACAGGGTTCGAGTCAGGCGAAGAATGGTTCCAGAAAGCAGGCAAAACAGAAACACAAGATAAAAAATTAAAGGCTACTATGTTAGGTGTACAATCTGACACAATGACACAAATAAAAATAAAGCGTCTTTATTTTGGTCTCTTGTCAAGACAAGATTTAAAACGGTAGGGATTAAGCCAAAGGAAGGTTGTATAACCCGTATTTGTATCCACAATCTTACTTTATCTATCTTGGATTTCATACCTGGAGCATTTGATGTCATGTACCTCACACATATGACATGCGTAAGGGGTTTCCCCTTGTCACATCCTCGGCTCATTCCTGCTCCTCCTATCAACGCTCTCCCTCACAAACCACCTCTCACCAATCCCGCGAACCATCACTAGCCTTCTAATAATCTGCACCTGTTCCCCAAATCAAAGGACACTAAATAAACCTATCTCATTCTTCCATTGATCAGCCGGTATCAAAGTTGGATGGTTCTCTTCACCTTCGTTCCTTCGTCAACTATTCTTCTTCCATGGATGTCTACTTTGTGTCTTTGGATCCTTAAGCAACTGAATAATAGAAGTGATTATACAATTATGTTGTTTACCTGAAGATCTACCAATTACCTAATAAACTATGTGTTTGAATATCTTAAGATGTTTACCATGTGAGCAGTTGATGAGATTGCTAACAGCCTTGACACCACTCTCCTGCTTAAGCTGCGGTCACAATAGAGTTTGAGCTTGCGAAATTCTGTCGTACAGCACTGCGAAAAGGGGCGGGATTAAACAAGATGATTAGACATTTAAAAAGTGAACGAATGCTCCATATTTTAAATTTCTGCCCAGAGTGGTCATGTTTTGATCCTCGATGGGTCTCAAGCAATCAAGTGATGCAATTTCGCAGGTCAGAGTTCACCAAGCTTAAACTATGCACCGCAGCAACCTGCGAAACTTGACGCAAGACCCTGTTTTTCTGGAATGGCGCATTCGCATTCGTATGAATGGAAGTCTATGGGAGGAAAAGCCCAGTGTGACCGCAGCTTTACTCGCTAATCTTTCTTGTCTACCAGCATGACACCCCTACCGTAATAGACCTAAAACACTAATTACCGTAAAACTTGTTAATGGCAAGCAGGGAAGTGTTTTCTTTTAGTAACTGCAGAGAAAAAGTTAAGCAAAATTATTTATCAGTTTGAGGCACATCGTGATACCGGCCATAGATGTAAAGTAAAAATAATGTCTTTCAATCTAGTCACCTCCCGCGGCCATCACCCTGGCACCAATCGCCATCATTGTAAGCTGCTTGCTTTTCTGTCTGTTCTATTGCTTCATTTGTAAGATGTTTGCTCACACTTTTTACAGTCAGAAGCACTTGAAATGCATGAAATGCCCAATTGGCGCCACAGAATGTCTAATCGCATCTTTGCATTGACTTCACAAGCAAATCACTCACGCTTC